GGGGTGGGGGTGGGGGTGGGGTGCGTCCAACATCCAGCAGCCCAATTATAATAATAATCCAGTATCATATAAATGGTAAGCAAAGAAATTTGCGAGTGTATACAAATTTCGACCGAACAGAGATCAGCGTAAATGGACAGGATCATATATCACATTATTTTGAAGCTTAGTGCTACTGTATATAAGTTTATGTAACAATCAAGGACAACAGATATGATATGAGTAAGCCCAATATGTTTTACAAAAATAAACAAATCTTGAAACTGATCTAGGTTAATCTGGCTATTGTGTGGGGATTCCTGATGAGCACCACTGGATCAAGGAGAATTGTGGTACACGTGGTATGCGGTGTTATTTGATCAAAACAAATAGCTTTCCGATGACTCTCAACATTATTACAACGATCATACTCCACTTATTTAGCAGTTCCAGTTCTGTTTCTATACCTAAGTAATGGCTGTTACATTACTTGCTGTAATATCCTGTATATTTGTTCCGATGGTGACACCATATAGGCCCAGTGAACGTAAGTATTTTTCTTATAATTTGAATCAAAAGTAGTGCCTTCAATTGTGTTTTAAGTTGTACAACAGTTTTTACATAGGCCTATGCTTTCCCGTTTACAGTACATTGATTGATAATTTATTGTATGTAGACCTTTGCCGCTCTCAGTACTCCCTAAATGCAATCACTGAACGTCGTAGAGAACGGACGTGTAATAGTGGTTATTATTATTATTATTATTATTATTATTATTATTATTATTATTATTATTATTATTATTATTATTATTATTATTTTATTATTATTATTTAAAAATTATTAAAATTATTTTTTGATCCAGAAAACAGGATGGCCAAGGACGCCGAAGACGTCTTGCTAAAGTGGCCGTCATAAAGCAATATTGGTCGTCCAAAAGACGGCTCGTTGGCTAAGCTTTTGATTAAGAGTGAGTTTTTACTCGAGAAAACGAAATTGTGGTGATAACTCTTTGGCACTCTTATAAAGTAAAAGTCACTCATTTACTTTACAAATGTATGGTTATGAACAAATAACCTAAACATTGGAAGCGTTCTGATCCTTCCGCTGTATGCTTTCTGTATATTGAAAAAATACAATTCTATATTGCTTTATGTATAAAAAAGGCAGTGGTTTTCGGTTAATAAGAGAAAATAGGTAATTTACTAATACATAAGTAGGCCTAATACCACCGTTTTCATACTGTTGTCCTCTTTAGTATTGTATTATTGAGGATAATAGTTTTTGCAATAAACGATTGAATTGAATTAATTTTCTTACTAAACATGCACTTAAATCAATGAACATGGTGAATAAATAATTTTTTTCTATATTTTTAATATAGGTGTGGTATTCTCATGTAACTTCGATACCGACTTCTGCGATTTTGAAAAAGTTGCTTCACAACATTTAGAATGGATTCGAGGTGAAGAGTCGGAAACAAGGGACGGAAATAATAGAGGTAAGGTTAATGATTTACTAGTCCAACATCCTGGGTTCAAACCCTGTAATATATATATATATA